ATACATACCCTACATATTTCCCTGGACGAACTCTTTCACAAGGAGCTGTACTACTACAAAAATGTACCTAAATAATTATCTAGTAGCTTCGAACGTATAAGTTTGGACATTATTAGGTATGGGTTCTTCCTCTACCCCGTAGTAATGGATGTAAATACATATTTGCTTTACAGTGTGACTTAAGTATCGGAATTTGTAGAAGTACCTATATCCTTTAACAAAGTAAGAAGCTGAGTAGCTACAGCTCTTGTTGATAATTTCAGCCACATTACGGAATAACAAGAGAAATAATTACAGATAAGGGAGTCACCACACTTTCCAATGCACAATTTACTTGAGCCGGTCAGTAAATGCTGTATGGCCATATAATAAAAATGAAAATAGCGTCTTTTTCGTGTGGTAAGTCGTTTTTTTAAGTGTGGTTACTCGTGTAAGAAATTGTCCAACCGTACCTAATAAAACTCTAAACTACATATTTCTACCGTACCTTGTACGGTAGAAATGTGTAGTTTATTACATGTAAACATTTGTTCATTGTCATTACATTTAACGTTGTATCTCCATAAAAACCATAGGAGCTTTAGAAAATAGCCATAAAGACTCCTATGTCTAGTAAGTAAGCACCTATGCTTATCCAATGATTCAAATTGAACAAAATAAAAGCAAGGCTAACGTTACCTCGTAATTAGTTGCATCTGCCAGGCCCCGTCTGGACAAATTTTAATGGTGGCGAGTTATTCTACGTTAAATAGGCTGTGTAATCAACGGAGCATTGGTGTTAATAAAGGCTTATAATGAATAATCTTACCCGATATTTCTGGCTACTATAGTCTACAATTTTTATTGTTTTTGTTCGCATAGGTAAAAATATAATTACGTACCTATATATAACAATAGCTGAAATGTTATATAAATGAAAGGTGTTTTTACAACGAGAGCGAACAACGTTATCCTTATTATACTATCGACAGTAGGTCACGCGGCACACGTGCATTCGCATGTGCTAACTCACGTTGTGAGACGCGGATGAGCCACTATGCTACACGTATCTCGCCGCCGCGGCCGATGCGCTGCGCTTACTACCACTTCCTCATTGTTTCACTTCGCGAACTGATCAGTGTTCTACGAATACCTGTTATTGCGTCTTCTTATATTTTTGGCTCCTCACGAAAAGAGTTTAACTTGTATTGATGACTGATATTTACGACATTCGCAGTTGTAGGTAACTCTGTTACTTTACTTATTGGCTACTTGGCTTACTTTGCGATTGATGTTTGCCAGTTCGGGGTTGCGAAAAAGCTCTTGCTTAGGTCGTCGCTATATCGAAGTTATTTTCAACTATTGGAAGGAAACTATTTTTTCCTATCTAAATCGCGTATATTTGTTTATTCAAACAAACCAATACGTTTCGGACCCTTAACTTATTGAGGATCTGAACAAAAGGAGAAAATAACAACGTCACGAAACAATGAAAATAGTTTTTAATTGGATTAGTTTAGTTGCTAAAAAGGAATAACAATCCAAATGATGTTCATACGGTTAGTGCTCATACTTATTTATAATAGATGGGAGACCCAACGTTTGAGTTCAGATTATTTAAAAATGAAAGAAGACGTGTATAGGAAATGAAACTATTTTTCCGGATTTAAATCGCGTATATTTGTTTTTTTTTTTCAAACGAACGAAGGTCCCATGGACACGGTTGACTGACTGACAATGGAACCTGCAAAGGGCCCGAAACGTCGGTTTGTTTGAAAAAACAAGTATACGCGATTTAACTCCTGAAAAATAGTTTCATTTCCTATGTGTAATAGTCGCGAAACCCTAAGAACTCGAGAAGATAAGTACATAAACTTCTTTGAGTGTGGTGACAGTTAAAATCACCGAAGACAGTAAAAGGGCCTGGGAAGTTGGATAGAATGGAACATTATATTTGATGAGATAAGATTCAGGGGAGGAGATATACATTGAAAATTAAGTTTTGTTTAAAGCCTTTTATTAGGCAACGGGACACATAAATTGTAATTATGAGGCGGGATGTCAATTGAACGGTATATAGAGTTAAACCATTTCTGTTTTTCCGAAAGCTGGCGTAGCAAGTTCAGGTGTTGGGCAAAGCACATACTGCCTTAATAAAAAAATAAATCACAAAGTTCTTGTATGTATTTAAAATACGGGAATGAAAGAAAAAAGAGGGTGCAAATGGTGCAATTCTGAACGACGTTGGGAAGCAATGGCCGGATGCACTGCGAGCGACACAGGTTCATTGGTGGCGCCAGTGCGCCATACAGCCCCTGTGCGCCGCACACGCCGCGCCCGTGTGTGCCGCATGCGCTGCGCCCATGTTGTAGCACCCGTGTTGTAGAGCCGACAACGGCTCAACCAATTTGGATGTGGTGTTCGGTGATGTAAGATAAGCTTGGATTAACATTTTGTGTTTGTTTCATTTAAATCGGCAGACAAGTAAAAAAAACAGTCAATTTAAAAGTGTTTTGCACGTGCACGATTATGGACAGGCGTGTAACTTAACCATCAGGCGCACGTCTTATTCGTCTGTCACTTGATATTATAAAAAAAAATTGACAAATCCTAAAGTTCAGTCCTTATCAATCAATCAATCAATCAACATTATCCCATTTATGCGTCCCACTGCTGGACACGGTTCGCCTCTCAGGCGGGGTTTTAGGCCATAGTCCGCCACGATGGGCCTATGCGGGTTGGGGACTTCATACACTTTCCGAGAATTGTGAATCTTCGACATACAGGTTGCATCACAACGTTTTCCTTCGCCGAAAAGCTCAGGGTAAATTTCAAATTAAATTACGCACATAAAATTCAAAAAACTCAAAAGTGCGAGTCTGGTTTCAAACTCACGGCCTCTGCTTGAGAGGCGATAGGCTTTCAGTGGCGAGGAGTTAGCTTTCAACAATGTTCAAAAAATACTTTCTCAAAATCTTGTGCGTGTCCAAAAACTGAAAATCAATGCGAAGCTTTCTTCTGACTAGGTGTACCTCTATTCTAAAGTCGAGCCCTATCAATAACTTATATATTATCGAACCTTTTAGTTACACCCTGTATGACTTCAACAATATTTTGTTTTTGCTTTCATCAATACGTCATTTCTTACATTAGTTTTATTGTAGGTACTACATACCTATTTATGTCACAATTATATCGTAGACGTAAAGTCAGTATGCGGAATACTTTGCCAGTAAACCAGTGTGGTGTAATACCTTTTCAAAGCAGTAGATAGGCGAGATATTTTTAACAAAATGTTTTGTTAAAAAACACATAGTACATACTTAAATCGCACGTCAAGAATTAAGTCCAATTCAAACAAGTGAAAGACGATCAAGAGACGAAATTCGTCAATTGCCTGAGGAACTTGAAACAACATTAAACGAATAGTACCAAACAAATACTATAGCGCAGCGCGCGCACACGCACACACAGACATAGGTACTAAATGTGGATTCACAATGAACGATTTTGGCAATATTTTGCAATTTATCGCGTTCCACGTTATGACCTTGAGTTGACCAATTAGGAGCTAAGGTCGTAGCACCTGATTGGTCAACTCAAAGTCATGTCGCGCAACGCGATAAATTGCGGCATTTTATTGCCAGAATTTGTGCAATGTGAATCCACCTTTACAGAGATAAGTAAATGTCATGTTTGACAGATCTAGAGATGAGGTACAACATTAAAGGAGTATGTGTTAACACAAATGATCTTATACACAAAATGAAATCGTCGCTGCAAAGGTGAAAGTACTACAGCGCCATTTAGGCCCTTTGGAAGTTAGTAATTTCGCCTTTCCAGTGACGAAATGGACTTCGCTTATTATAACAGTTCATTCCTTCTTTCATTCACTTGCTTTTACTTTATAATACACAAAAGTTTTCAGAATAATGGTGACAGATATTGAAACAACAAAATTATTTTTTTTATATAAAATGCACTTGTTGACACCATATACCTATCACGTAAGATCTTATTTTAAATCGAAATAAAATTGACACTGGTGAGTATTAAAGCCAGAAAACTAAGTTAAGCTAGAAAAGTAGGTAATTATTGTAGCAGTGATTTTCCGTCACAAAATATTTTTCTAATTTGTGGTATATATTCTTCTCGTCAATGGTACAAATTGTGGTAGGTTTGCTACAATTTATTTAATTGCTTCAATATTGTCGATCATTCAGGAGATAATAATCGAACTATGAGCTAAGATATGCGAAAACAAGGCCAGCATTTTTGTGTATTTGCTCCTTGTGAGTATAGTGTTCTGTGGGTATTTGCGTTTAATAGATTTGAGAGGAATGTAAGTTTAGTGTGAATGTTGTACTTAAATAGATCACAGGACAGTGGAATACTGTACTGTGATCTATTTAATTAATTATTACTATAGCTCTGAGATGTCATTCAAAAAGTAAATAAAGTTTCACTGTCAAAGTGACTTTTCATAGATCGATCGGAAATTAGACCTGTGTCGATCGATCATTAATTATGACCTGAGTCGATCATGACCCATGCATGATCCCATGCAAATGTTCGATCCTTTAACGGGTTACAATTCACTCACGATAATTCCATAATTTTTCGTTTTATACCGGTTCATTTAGAGACCCAGTAGACCTATTTACAAATTTACCATGTAATGGACAGTACGCTACAGAGCGACTATGATGATTGATTGAAATTCGATCGCGAGGGTTCGAACATACGTAGTATCTCTTATTAGTTTGTGGTTCGAACGAACGCAAGGTTCGAAGGTGTACTTGGTCAACATAGATCACCTGTAGAATGTCCAGATATAAGGCATATTTTTCATATGATAATATGAAATTTTTTAAGATTTCATATTTTGTGTCCATTGGCTTTATTAATCAAATACATAACAAAAGTAATGTACCATTAGTAACAATTTGCCATCGAGTAGTATAAAGAATAACTCAATTTCTTTTCTGGATTACCTTAAAATTATGAACTGTTTAGCTTGAACGTGATTTAATTAACATATAAAAGTATAATGTTACAGTGATAAAATTAATTTAAAACAGTTTTTCACTCTTATATAGGTACTGCATTACATCTGACACATTAATTCGCAGTAATAGCCTCACTTTTACATTTATAGTTCTTCATGTTTTCCTTTTTTACGATGAGGGAAAGACCAGAACTCAGAGGGCAAGCCTCTAGAATCTCTTTCTCTCTTTACAAATGCTGAATATGATGATACACAATTAGCAATAAAATAATTGGATTTTCCTAATATTGCTAAATCTAGATGTGGGTCCGATGGCTGTAATCTTACAGCTACAACATCAGTGCGCTGCAAGGCCTCATTCAGCTCCTCCAACATATGGCTGGAATCTGACGCTACAAAAATAAACTTGATGCCATTGACCTTCTTGATGGCTCTCTTAATTTGCCTGAAAGAAAACGTAATTAGAGTATAATAAAAAAATAGCAAAATAAAGTGTTGCAGTCGCCAAAGTACAAACACATACTTGATTATTTCAGATTTCTGAGGAAAACACATAGATGGCGTTAAAGGTCCCCTTTCATTTTTGTAGCCAACACATTGTGGGGCTGCAAATAACGTGGGACTGTCCTTGACATGTTGACAGGCTTTCACCCAATCCTGCCCATTTCTGAGGTGGATACCAATGAAGCCACCACCATTCATATTCTTCTTAATAAATGCATTTGATTCATTATCATATTTTTCAGACCATTTCAAATATTTTTGTAAAACTTTGTTTTCATTCTGGACTGGGAAACTAGCTGGTGCCCCTGCAAATATTTTAATGTATTTTAATATCTCTATTAGTGTTGTTTCGTAATCTAAATCATGTTCCATGCTATAAAATTATAATACTTTTACCTGTAAATGCTAATACCGGCCATTCTCCAGGAGGGTACTTTTGGGTCCACCTGGTCATCATTGTAGTACTATGTGCATCATAATTCAGTGGCCCATAAAATTCAGAACCAACAAAATTAATGCCAAAAGTATCCCAAAATGGACCAAAAGGATTTCCAGATTTGGCATTGCAACTGCCTTTTTGTTCACCACTTCTTTCCATGTAACAGAATGATACTCTTTTATCCTCAGGCCACAAAAATGGAGCAATGTCAGACATAAACTCATGCATTGTGATAACGTTGTGATATTCAGCTAAACTTTCAACTTTAAAGTATGTATTAAACGGCACCTGTATTGATCTAGGCTCGCCATATCTGTATTCCACCCATGGCGGCAGAACAAGGGTCCTGTTTAGTCCTTTGCTGAAAGCAAGAGCACCTAAGAAGTGATCTGCTTGATTTCCAAATCTGCCTGAAACAAAAACACATTGGAAATATTTTCTGCATTGTTAGGCTCCTAGAATTTAAATCTCAATGTCTCCCTTTGTTGTACAAATGGAGTAGAAAACCTTAAGAGGTTATGTTAAAGATCAAACAATAGGTATTTATTTGTCCGTACGCTAAGTACCAAGTTATACTAAGTTAACTAATTTAAAAGGGTACAAAAACTAAATACTCAAATGCACGGAGAAATATTTAAAGCTTACCCATGCAAGGGCAGTACACAATATATCCATTTTTATCAAAAACATATGCAATAACAATACAATATGGTAAAATTAACAATAGTGACAAAATTTTCCACATCATTCAATAAAATCTTTTTTTTTTATTTAGAGAGAAAAGCTGTGAAAATTACGAAATTAAAACAACATTTCTGGCTCCCGCCGTTTATTTGACGTTACGTCTTGATTGATTTGATTGATTTGGTTTTTCCTTGCGGAAAGGCAGAGGTCTAGCCATCGTGCAGCCTCAATGACAAAATAATTTTATTCCGAATTAATTTTGGAGCGATATGGCAATGTCAGTTATTAAATGAACTCATCTTGATGAAGCTATACGGCAGTTATAGGAGGCTAACGTCGCCGTACTTTCTTAAACTCGTATCTCAAAGCACAAAGTAACTAAAACGCAAAATATGCATTTACTGCAGGCTGATTTTACATCACATTTCCTTCATATTCACACACTGGCTTTTCCTACCACCTATTCTTAAAGTAATGCATCCAAATTAATACCCTTGATGAGAAATTTAAAATAAATAGTTTTTGCCGTGTCGATAAATAACCGTTGTTGCTATTATTTCTTTGATCTTATTTCTGAACGACACCCCTTAAACGTCAGGTCAGAGTCGCTTGATTGTACCGGTCCGATTTTTGTGGGTCTCTTCCTGTGGTTTCTTCTACTTGTTATTTTTACAATGGTCTGTAAAAACGACATAATTTGAAGTGATAATAAAGTGTTTTCATTAGAATACAGCTTTTTAAGTGGTAAATCATCAATATACAAGAGTAATATAACCTATAAAGATCATGGCAGACGAGGATTTCAGCAAATTATTACAACAAGCAGAGCAACTCACAACCGAAATTGAAGGCAATGAAGAACTGCCAAGGGTTGAGCGATCGCTGGGACAAGTATTAGAAGCTTCCCAAGAGTTGTATTCGAGAGTTATACAATCTGGCGCCAACGACATTCAAGCGTATGTACATGACTGTTTACCTACGAATAATGCTTTAATCCTTAATCTGTCGACTTACAAATTAAATGTGTGATTAGGGAAAAAAATTACATGTTTTTTTTTTCAGGCACTTACTGTTTGGTTCTAAAGGCATAGATCTACAGCAAATATCTCAGAAGTTAGAGACACTCAGCTCCAAGCGTACATTTGAGCCATTGCAACCCATAGCTGACTCTGACATTGAAAGTTTCCTAAGAAATGAGAGAGAAAATGCTATATTATCACTTATTGATGAAGTAAATAAGAATGTAAGTATCTTCTATTGTTGATTAAAGTAGCAAAGCATTTTAACACATTTATACAATTTGTATGTACTGGTTACTAATTATTTTTCACAGTCCTTACAAACAACAGAAGATCAGAAATGGGAACATATGATTTCTGAATGGAATAGAGAGAAAATCAAATTAATGAATGCCATGATTGGACCATCTCAGAACTGGCTAGACCTGAAAAGGACACCAGAACCTCCCAGTATTGCCGATACACCAAAGAAGTTTGGTCATTCTATGCTTGATGACATTGAAACAGCATATGCAAGACAAGTTCATCATTATAATAAACTAGTTTTCCAAGGTTCCAAATCTAGAACAGCATTACATCAGAAATTTGCTCAGGTTGCTGAGGAGTTTAATGATTCTGTGAGTTATTTTTTCTTAAAGAAACTACTATTAGATCTACAAAGTATCTTAAGAGTTGATCATACATATAATATAACTTGTTTATTATGTTTATTTTCATAACAAAGAATTAGAGACCTCTTTTTTAAAATTTTGTATTTCATATTATGCAACTGAGTATATGCTTATTGTGTTTTCATTTATAGAAAGTGAAAGAGATGTGGGAGATTATTAAGACAATGGCCAACATTCCAGCTCTGGTAAGGGATGAAGACCCTCTCAAAGCTAGAGGCAATCCAACAATACAACAATGTCTTATAGCCCAGGGCAAGAAATATTTGGAAAAGAGGTATAATAAAATGGTTAATTTTTATACAGTGTGTCCCTGGTAAAAGTGCACATACTGAACAGAGTGAGAGTAGACCACAATTGGTCGACGAAAAAAAATAAAAAAAAAATCTAGAAAATAAATTGAATATTTTAAGTGGGTTTATATTTTTTTGGCTCGGTCGGACGACTTAATTTGCATAAAACATTATAACTTTTTTTTTACTAGCTTTATTGCAACAAAATAAAAACTGTTAGCATTGTTATTAGTAGTACATCAAAAATACATTATAACTATATAGACTTTAAAACAAAAAAATATAAAAAAAAAATAATTTATCCAAAATTTATTTTAAAAAATCGTAAAATTTTCTCTATAAGTCAATTTTCGCAAAAAAAATCCCTATTTATTGCATTATTTTCACAATTCTTCTAATTTTACATGATATTAGCTTTCAAATAAAAAAAAAACATCATGGATCTATCCCAATTAAAACAAAAGTTATAGGCCTTTAAACTGTACACGTGCTCTATTGTATCACCCGCCGCTGTCCGTGCCATCCTCAGGTAGAGACCCTTTTTTTTAAATCTTTTGTTTACGAACACTGCTCCACGTCGCGTCGTCGCGGGCTGAGGCCAAGGGTGAAGGGGCAGGGAGAAAACGTTAGACCTTATTTACATACAACAAATAAAAACCAGTTGCTCCGAAACATTCGCTGTGTACACTGTGTTTTGTTTTCGTGATGCCGCGCTTATCGGATTTCCCCGCAAATCATATCGCTGATATGCATTATTTCTACGGTTGGCATCATGGGTCAGCAAGGGCTGCTTGCTTGGCCTACAGGGAGCAATATCCTGAACGACAACCGCAACCTTCAGCCCGTAACTTTCAAGAGGTTCACCGATTACTATCTATCCACGGAATCGGTGGGCCACGCCGCGAAAGAGCCCGGCAAGTGATCGTTGACATTTCTATTGAGGAAGCTGTCCTCAGTAACTTATTTTCAAATCCCACAACGAGCATAAGAAGCGTCTTATGCCGTGGTGTGCAGCCAAGCGTGGCTGCACACCACGGAATTTCAAAAACTTCAGTTTGGCGCATTCTGAAGAAGGAGGGGTTACACCCTTATCATTACCAACGAGTACAACATTTGCATGGCAATGCTGAATTCATTTCGAGATGTGTTTTTTCTACGTGGATTCAACGACAGTCCAGAATGGATCCTCAGTTTTCGCAACGTATTTTATGGATGGATGAATCTACTTTTACTCGCAACGGGATAACTAACGCGAGAAATCTACACAGATGAGTATTTCGAATCCACACCTGAAAAGAGAGTCTACATTCCAAGTGCAGTTTTCTGTGAATGTTTGGGCAGGACTTATTGGTCGTTATTTAATTGGACCAGTCATTTTACCTGCAACGTTAAGAGGGGAGACATTTTTAAGCCTGTTGAGAGACGATTTGCCAGACCTACTAGAAGATGTGCCTACTCTTGCATTACAACGTATGTATCTGCAGATGGACGGGTGCCCCGCTCATTATTCGTTAAATGTGCGAAATTTTTTAAATGAGCGATATCCCAACAAGTGGATTGGCCGCGGAGGGCCAGTGGCATGGCCCCCACGGTCACCAGACTTAACACCACTCGACTACTTTTTTTGGGGAGCCATGAAGCAAGCGGTATACAGTGAACCCGTAATGAATGAATGAATGAAATAATTTATTATCAGACTTACAATAATTACAAGTCCATATATTGTTAGTAAATACTTAGACACTATGTTAGTAAAACTTAAAATTTTCATTCTCTTGGATTAGAATGGACATCCAATGTTTTAAAATTGGACTGTCCATCCTCTCCGCATTCACCATCAGAAGACTGTTGGTGCTGCCCCGCACTCTGACCATCAGGGATGCTGCTCGCTTTCGAATGACAGCTTCAAAGCTATCAATTCTAGTTGCGGCAAACATCCCCGACGCGCTACAATATCGGGGCAGCCCCAGCAGTCCCCTGAGGGCATTGTTGAACTGGATACGCAAGGCACTGTAGGCTTTTTTAGTAAAATTGCTCCACAGGTTGCACGTGTATAAGGTCTGGCAGTAAGTTTTGAAGAGGGTGACTTTTACCTCTTGTGAGCATTGTACAAACCTGCAAAAAATATTACACCTTACCGACAGTGCCCTGCGTTCCCTCTCCAGATCAACGTCATCAGTTCCATTTTCAGTGACCCAGTGGCCCAGATACTTGAAACTGTTCACCATAAATACTCAAGCGGAACTTATCGACCGAATCAACCATTTCGCTCAAGAAATTAAAGAGAACGAAGATATGGTTCAATCCGCGACCAAACAAATAGTAATGCGGACGCTAATGTGCCTACAGCAAAATGGAAACCATTTTGAAAATCTTATGCACAACATTTAATAAACAAATAAATATTTTTTGGCATAATATTATTTTTTATTTAACTTAAAGCTTACCAGCTTCATCTAAGTTGATGCGCTTCTTTTGTAATGAGAGAAGTAGAGCTATGTAGATTAGATATGGACGGCGGCCGGCTGACTCAGATTAGGTGTGTACTTTAAACGCCTATAATTTTCGTTTTAATTAAGATAAATTCAAGATTTTTTTTTTAGTTGAAAGATAATATCATGTAGAATTAGAAGAATTGTGAAAATAATGCAATAAATAGGGATTTTTTTTGCGAAAATTGACTTATAGAGAAAATTTTACGATTTTTTAAAATAAATTTTGGTTAAATTATTTTTTTTTTATATTTTTATGTTTTAAAGTCTACGTAGTTATGATGTATTTTTGATATACTACTAATAATAATGCTAATAGTTTTTACTTTGTTGCAATAAAGCTAGTAAAAAAAAAGTTAAAACGTTTTATGTAAATTAAGTCGTCCGATCGAGCCAAAAAATTATAAACCCACATAAAATATTCAATTTATTTTTTAGATTTTTTTTTAATTTTTTTTGTCGACCATTTGTGGTCTACTCTCACTCTGTTCAGTATGTGCACTTTTACCAGGGACACACTGTATTTTGAATAGTTAATTCTTTGTATTAATGATAACTAAACCTGCACATGTCTTGAGGTGTTATTACCCTACAAAAATCATTGCATTATATGTTTTATTTACTTCACAGCATTAATATTATCATGACAGTAGACAGTAGATAGATTTTACCTTGAGAAAATTAGTCGGCTTTAAAGATTTGAAAATGTTACACAAAGAAAACAAACTCTTGTTTAGATTCCATTTCTTTAAACATCTTTATAATAGGTATAAACAGTACATGACAGATGTAGTCCGGGCAAACCCTGCTGCAGCCATGCGAGGCGGAGAGCCTGGCACTTATCCCCTTGTCAGAGGATTTGTTGGTTTGAGACTACAACAGAGTGTTCAGGGCTTGACTGATGGTGTAATTGATGAGCGCCCCCTGTGGCCTATGGTGTACTATTGCTTGAGAAGTGGAGATCCTAATGCAGCTTTACACTGTTTGAGAAAAGCTGGGTGAGTTATCAACCTTTTTTTTTAGTTACTACTGTAACTGTTTCAAATAATTCGAGTTTTTAGATTTTCGCGATTGCTACACATTGGAAATGAAACTATTTTTTTCAATCTAAATTGCATATATTTGTTTTTGCAAACATTTTAAATTTTCATATAATCTTTGTTTTAGTATTTTTCCCAAAAATACAATATAAATATTCTTTATTGCACACTGGAACAAATACAAAACAATACAAAAAATAAAAAGACCAGATATATATTATTATATATAGCTTATTGCTATGTATTTAATACACATATTGCACATACACAAATGAAAAAAGAAGAATAATAAAAATAGTCGAAAACAGATTTCCAAAATAATAGTAGTAAATTAATAATATACTTAAATATCTTTTTCTGTGTCTACCCTCAGAAAGAGAAGCAGTGTTGGAATTTGCGTCTATTTAAAAAAAATCGCAATTAAAAATAGTAATTAAGCAAAATCACGTGTTTTTTGTGTTTATATGAACATTAAATTGTGCACAAAATTTTGGATAATGTTAAAGTGTTAACGTGTAAGTGTTGTTAAAGTGTTAGTGAAGTGTAAATTGAGTGAGAAAAATCGTAACGTAACTTTTTTCGTGCCAGTATCGTATTTCGAGCAAAATATTAAGTGCTTTCAATGCGAGAATGAATACAACGATGAAACCAGTGCAGTGTGATGGTTACAAAAGGAATGTCTGTGTGCAATGCAGTAACTCGAAGAGTAGTGAGGTGCGTGTCATGGAGCTAAAAGGGAAACGCACACTCCTGTACTTGTGTCCCGCATTTCGAGTGGCCCTATTCCAAGTGCCTAAGCTCATCAAATCCTACGGTGGACTGTGCGGACTCGATGAAGCAAAAAAGCGGCTATTAAAAACCACCAATATAGCCTCGCCGGAGGTATCAGTAGTTAACACATCCCCATCTGACACCAATGCTATAATGGAGGAAATCCTGGAACGTGAGCGCAGAGCCAGCAATGTGATTTTGGTGGGTATTAAAAAATGTATCTCTGAAAATGGCAGCGACCGAAAGACACACGATGAATCAACTGTAAAGAAGCTTTTATTGGATATGAACAGTGGAGGCGACTGCTCGCATAAAGTGATGACTGTGCAACGCTTGGGACGTCGTGAAAATGGCAAAACCAGACCTATAAAGGTGGTACTTTCTTCCCGCCAAGATGCGGTCTGGATACTTAAGAACAAAAGTAAGGCCAAAATGGAGGTAAGAATTTATGATGATAAAACACCTAAGCAGCGTGAACAACTTAGAGACTCTTAAAACTAGTCAACAACTTAGAGACTCTTAAAACTAGAGTAGAGAAGGGGGAAACTAACCTCACAATTAGATATGTGAACGGTGTACCTATAATTGTAAACCAAAAAAACTAATCAACTATAATAGAAATCCGTACACTGACCTTACATATATGTACACTAATTTGTTTTCTTTACCGCCTAAATTTGATCTGTTACTACTCTCTGTAAACTCAAAAAACCAACTTTCGTTATTCTCATGGAAACATGGTTAAACAGTAAAGATCTCAACAGTACATATAGTATACCGGGCTACACTTTGTTCAGACTAGACCGTAAACTTATGAAAAATCATTTTCAAAGCAAAACCAGAGGTGGAGGTGTGGCAATGTATGTTAGAGACAACTTAAATGGGATACCTATATTTGTTAGACATAATCAGAAATACATGTGTGAAGATGTGAAAGAAGCTCTTTACCTAGATGTTCAGATTAACACCTATCACTTTCTACTGGTAGTAGGGTAGGGTGTATCGACCTCATGTTATAAACGAAGAGACATGGAGAGCATGTGACACCAAACTGTGGACAAACCTTTTGGCAGCCTCGGAAAGCAATACTATAATCATTGCTGGTGATTTTAATTATCCCACTATTAAATGGCCAATTCTCATAGATCACCACCAAATAGGGCAAGCAGGACTTTTTAAAGACATGTCTGTTAGCGGTAATCTCTTCCAACTTGTTAATAGTCCTACAAGGTTCCAGCAGAATCAGGCTCCCTCACTTTTGGACCTGGAAATGGTTAATGAGGAGACTCTGATTAAGGAAATAGTTCATAAACCACCCATATGTAAAAGCGACCACTGTGTACTAGAGTTCAGTTTCCAATATCAGGTACAAACATTAAATAACTCAACCAAGTTTAAACGATACTATGAATCTATTAACTTTGACCACTATAACACAGACTTAGCCAAGAACCTTTAAACTGTAAATATTACAGGTGACACAGAACAGTTGTGGTCAGAAATCTTGAAAGCAGTCAACACCACCACAGATAAGCATGCCCCAGAAAAGATAGTTAAAAATAAAACTAAAAATAAGCTTTGGATCAATGAATGTGTTCTCAATCTAGTTGTACATAAGAAACTGCTATGGGATAAATACAGATCTTCTGGCTCAAGCGATGATTACATGAAATTCCGTGGATTAGCAACAGGTGCGTTGCTCTAACTAGGAAACAAAGAAGCGTGTACGAATCAAAAATACTGGAACATGGTGACAAAGCCTCTCACGTACGCCGATGCACATCTACCAAAGTAAGCATCCCACCAGCAATTAGCAGTTATAATGGAGACATAGTAATGAATCCCAGTGATATAGCGGAGATATTTGCAGAGGAATTTTTAAAAGTTTACTCAGAAGAACCCGTCATAGACCAACACACCACAATAGCATCAGTTGCCCGAGTAGAGAATAGTTTAAATGACATTACATTCACGGTAAAAGATGTACAAGAAACTATGTTAAAATTGAACACACTATCCTCTCCTGGACCTGACAAACTACCAAGTAGCATTCTCAAACACTGTGTAAAGGTCTTAGCTCCCACTTTGACAGAACTAATGAATAAATGTTTCAAAACGGGATATTTGCCTCAAGATTGGAATCACGCTATAGTTATTTATAAAAAAGGAGACAAGACTCAGACTGGAAATTTTCGTCCTATAAGTCTCACCAGTATTGTGGTCAAAATTATGGAAAGAATTATTTGTGATCGACTAAATTAGTTTTTGAATCGGGAATGTATAATATCAACCAAACAACATGGATTTGTACGAAAAAGATCAACTGTTACAAATTTATTAATATGTGTGAATGCATGGAGCAAAGAACTTGATAATAAGAACCCGGTGGATGTAGTGTACCTGGACTTTGAACGCGCTTTTGATAAAGTTCCGCATCAGCGCCTCTTAATGAAGCTAGATCACTTCGGTGTATGTGGGACACTACTTAAATGGATAGACAATTATCTTAAAAACAGAACATTCCAGGTACGTGTCGGTAACTCGCTGTCGCAACTAAAGCGGGTACTGAGCGGGGTACCGCAGGGATCAGTACTCGCTCGCCATCTATTTGGAATATATGTAACAGATCTAGTTGAGCTCATAGATTCCAATTGTGCCTTTTTTGCTGATGATGGAAAGTTTTTTGCAAATCCACTTATAAACTGTGGACAACTTCAAAAAGATCTAAATCGTATAGAAGACTGGACCAAAGATTGGAATTGAATGCATCAAAATTTAGCATTTTGCATCTTGGTAACAATAACCCCAAAGTCACATACAACTTGCATGGAAATATCTTAGCCGCAGTCAAAATTCGAAACGATCTTGGAGTCAATATCGCATTCAATTTAAAGTGGGGTGAGCATATCACTACAATAGTCAAGAAAGTTAATATTTCTTAGCCCTTATTTCCAAAAAGACATAAACCTTCTTGAAAATTTTCAGAGGAAGGCAACTAAAATGCCACAGGCTCCTCGACGCAAATCCTATAGCAATAGATTATGGTTTACACAATCAAAGGCACTGTTAAAACTGGTATAAATGGAATCAATTTGAATTCTTCTGTCAACGCAATTGATAAGGTCTGTAGCATAATTCAGAGGCCTACTAACAGTCGATTTGCGTTTTCGAAACCCGTGCTGAAAATTGGATAAAACGTTTTCTAGATGTTTTGTAATGACAGAACAAATAATCTTCTCAAATATTTTAGGTGTAAGTGTATACCTAACTCAAGATTGATATCGGTCGGTAGTTTTTAATATGCGGTTTTATACAGTGTGTTAGGGCACGCACTGTACAAACTTTAAGGGGGTGTTTAGTATTCAATATTATGTGAAAAACACTAATACATGTGGGGTCAAAACTCAACTCCCTCGGAATGGCAGCCATTTTGATTTTTTATACTTAGTTTGCTAAACATTTGTTCTAAAATTATCATATTATGAGAAGTAAAAGCAGTACGAACATAAAAAAATATTTTTTCGGAAAGCTAAGATTAGCGGCAATTGAATAAAATATCTGTCATGTACATAAAAAAGTGAGGGATTGCCTAATAAAAATAATGAATGTAAATTTTTACAAAAAAAACTGCCAAAAAAACTAAGTTTTTGTAATTTAATCCTAAAATAACCAAATTAAGGTACTGTTTTTATGTATGAATTTTAAAGTATTTCAGCTGTTCTTAAAAACACGACAAAAATCATAATCCTATGTCCACAATTCTAAAAGTTACAGCTTCTGCAACATAACGTTTCCGAGAGCGAAATAAGTAAATTTTACAGTCTTTCTAGTAAATTGTTTTGTGTTGAGATGTAGTAAGTTAATTTGAAATAAAAAACAGTAAAAAATATTAGATTATTTATTTTACAAAAAAAAAAGAAACACATAAATTATAAAAGGTGTTCAAAATGTCCCCCTCTATTTAGAAGGCAAGCTGTTGTCCGAATTCCCACCTGCTGCGTGGCCCGATATAAAATTTCGGGATTTGCACGAATTTCTTCAGCAGCTTCACGAATGCGCGCCGATAGCTCCTCTCTCGTATTCAGTGGGTTAAAATAAACTTTTTGTTTCATCCAACCCCAAAAAAAAATCTAATGGAGTTAAATCCGGACTACGCGGAGGCCACGCAACAGTGCCGCCTCTTCCAATCCACTGTGGATAATTTTCATTCAAGTGCTGTCTCACAGCTGTGGCGAAATGAGCCGGGGCTCCATCCAGCTGCAACCACATTCCTCGGAGACGTGCGATTGGCAATTCTGAGAGTAATTCCACAAACTCTGTCCTTAAAAATTCCAAAAATCTTGGGCCATTTAATCTTTCCGGCAACTCCACCGGTCCAACTAATTGGTTATTAATAATACCAGCCCAAACGTTGACAGAAAACTCATGCTTGAATGAGGATGGTCTCACTGCATGAGGGTTTTCGGTAATCCACATATGTAAATTACGATAATTGGTTATTCCCGCTCTTGTAAGCGAAGCTTCGTCGCTCCATAAAATCTTCTTTAAAAAGTTTGGCTGTTGCCGCACCTTTTGATTAATCCACGCACTAAAAACTGAACGTGCTGCATAGTCCGGATGACTAATATTCTGCACGCGTCGAAAATGGTAAGGATATAAGCCTTCACTTTTCAAAATACGCCACACTGTCCAATGCGACATACCAAGTCGGAGAGCAATTCGCCTCGTGCTTAATCTTGGATCTCTGTAGATCATATTAAGAACGGTTTCTTCATCATAAACTGATATTTCACGTGCACGTTCACCTACTGGTTGACGAATACCATTTTCTGCCAATCGCCTATGAATATCACGAAATGTCTGGTGATTAGGTGTAGGCCGATTTGGGAATCTCCTTCGGTATTCACGAACTGCTGCTGTATTCACGAATATCTGCAATATGCGCACTTGAATACTGCTGATTATTCATGACGAATCAACAATAAAATTCACTCCGAAAGCACTTTTGGTCAAGATGTGTTGTCTGAGTAGAGAGTAACAACTGACTGTTAATTGTTGAATTAAAAGAAGCGTTAAGTACCCTTAGAACTTTTTTTCAATCAGGATTGTGCTTAGGGGCTTATCTTTTGTCCCTTTTACACTTGCAAGCGGGGCAGAGTGAGCCAGGTAATAAATGGTTGAACTCATCGCCATTGTTGTAACCGAGAGCGATCTTTTGTGTTGTTAAGATACTAAGTTCGAGTAGTAAAAACTTTTAGAATTGTAGACATACGATTATGATTTTGGTATTGTTTTTAAGAACAGCTGAAATACTTTAAAATTCATACAGTACCTTAATTTGGTTATTTTAGGATTAAATTACAAAAACTTAGTTTTTTTGGTAAAAATTTACATTCATTATTTTTTTTAGGCAATCCCCCACTTTTCTATGTACATGACAGATATTTTATTCAATTGCCGCTAATCTTAGCTTTCCGAAAAAAATATTTTTTATGTTCGTACTGCTTTTACTTCTCATAATATGATAATTTTAGAACAAACGTCTAGTAAACTAAGTATAACAAATCAAAATGGCTGCCATTCCTAGGGAGTCGAGTTTTGACCCCACATGTATTAGTGTTTTTCACATAATATTGAATACTAAACACCCCCTTAAAGTTTGTACAGTGCGTGCCCTAACACACTGTATAAGCGTTTGTCCCATTTATTTCTTGTGTATAGGTACAACGTTAGCGGTCTTCCATTTTGATGGGGATATAGAAGTATCAATTGATTTAATATCTATAGATATTAATGTCATTAATTTGAAAAAACTATTTACAAATATTTAGTTGTAAAAAGATTTTGCCCTCGATTTCGGGTGTTAATGGGTTTTAACCCGTATTAAACAAAGCGCTGGGTTAAAACCCGAGCGGTTGCCCATGTCTGCAACGAACATTTAATTTTTTCTTATTTTAAAATAGACAGACTTGTAAAATGTATTTTTATTACATGAAAATTATGTAAACTTTGTATGCCGTATGGCGACTAAAAATGCATTGATGTAACACCCTTATAATCTGTGTATCGTAAAGATATTAATCACTCATCTCATGCTGTTAAACCCTCACCAGTAGCTTGGGCGTAAAGTGTAAACTCGTTTGAAATAACTGACTTTCCGCCCTAATAAAACAAAGTTCTATTAAAATGACATGTTGATTTTATTATTATGTATCAACTTATAAAATTGTATATAAATGAATATAATGCAATTTAAATTATCCTTATTTTTTATTTTTTTAATCTCTCAGAAGCTTGTAATGTCTTGTATAAATGTTTCACAAAATACAAAGTTTCATTAACAGCCTAAAGTAATACATTTCAGACGCGATTACGAAGAGTTCATTGCAGCTTTAGAGGAACACATCAAGAGCCCTGAGAAGCCACTCAGTGACAAATTGCAGACAGCTATTAACTTCCAGTACAGAATTCAAGTTCGCAACTCCACCGATCCTTACAAAAGAGCTGTGAGTTATTTCTAAGTTGCGGGGATTGATACGTCTAGTACCTACGATCCAGTCTCAAAAATGTTATGCTTTATTGACCAAATAAAGGAAAAGGCCGGTGTCGTGTCGTATAAGGAGGACAATGACTGGCTTATAAGCTCTTTAAGTTTGATGATGATGATGATGATGATTTAGAATATTCGCTTGGATTCGCGATTTGGAATAAATTAATTGAATAGTACAAAAACAGTATGTGAATTAATTTCATTTAAAGTTCATGTAGTGTTATCATAAAATGTCATGAGAATTATGTATAAATTCTGAAGGCAAAACACGTTGTCTTAGGTCATCTTCTTTAGTTGTAGTAGCTAGTTGATATCATAAAACTCCTTTTTGCTGGGTAGTGCGTGCGCCATTTTCCAAGAACGCGTTGCGTTTAAGAAACAACCTTAGCGTACCAAAGATTCATTTTAGAAAACGAATGTATCGCGATTTCAGGTGTATTGTATAATAGGTTGCTGCGAAGTCAGTGACGAACACTCTGAAGTGGCTCGTACGGCAGACGATTACCTGTGGCTAAAGCTGTCCATTATCAAAAGTCGCCCTGGCAACGAGTCATCTGAATCGTTCACATATTCCGACTTGCAGAAAATGATTTTGGAAGAATATGGTATGTTTTGTTCATATAATTTCAATACCAATTTAAATGTACACACACACACACCCACTCACTAACACACTCACTCACTCACTTACTCATTCACTCACTCACCCATTCACACAATCACACACACATACACACAAGCCGTGGTAGCCTTACCAATGGTTTGACTTACCGCCTCTCAAGCAGACCGTGGGTTCGAATCCGGACACGCCCCTTTTGAGTTTGTGTGTGAAATTTAATTTGACATTTACCATAAGCTTTTTGGTGAAGGAAAACATCGTGACGAAACCTGCAGGTCGTAGACAGTTCACAACCCTCAAAAAACGTGTGAAGTCCTCAACCCGCATTGGGTCAGCGTAGCGGACTATGGCCTAAACCTTCTTCGTAGAGGTGGCCCGAACCCTGCAGCGTTACGTAAAATGGGTTGATAACACCGACATATGTTGATAGCGATATTAATACATTTGTATATTTTATTTACATTTTGTATATTCTGTATATATTATGTAAAAAAAGTAAATTATATTACGTTACTAATTTTAATGTCAATTTCAGGTGAAACCCACTATCACGCCTATGAGAAGCCTCTGGTCTACTTCCAAGTGCTAACTTTGACTGGACAATTCGAACCAGCTATCGAATTTCTATCTAGAATACCCAGGTAAATAAACAATGCTAATTTATACACGTATTTCTTTTATTATTTTTCAACCTTCAACGCGATTATAAAAACTAATGGCTATTTTTGTTCTAAGTAAAAACTGTTTATAATGTTACAGATATCAAGTACACGGCGTCCATATGGCGTTAGCTCTTCACGATGTTTACATGTTGGGAACTCCACGAAATGTCCAAGCACCTTTGCGTAAGTTTTTGCCTTATTTGCTTTATTATGGCGATAACGCCTCCCTGTGGGCGCTGCAGGCCCAAAGGGTAAGCGGTAAGAGATCCAGAAAAAAATGGGGGCGTTGTGTAGAGGCTTTAGGGGGAGATTTGTAATTACATCTAGGAAGACTCTTAGGGTCGTATTCTAGAACTCTACTCAATGCTCAAGTCAGGATTGCACTGGACACACAAGCACTGGAAATACGACCCTAATGGCAGGGACTTGAATATGATTTCGAGTGCTTTAAACCATACTCAAATCCTGACTATACCCTTAGACACCAACTGAGCTCTCGACTCTCGACTACAACTTGTGAACATCAACTAATATTAATTAAGAGATTGCTCAAACTAACTCGGTTCGATATTTCTCTCCGCGTAGTTCATATATCTGTCCTGTTTTATTGAATAAATAAAATAAAAATCATGTCAATCGGTCGCTCCGTTTCGAAATGAAAGTAGACACACACAAACAAATAAAAAGGCAACAGACACAGTTTCGCATTGTAATAGTTATTAGTATTCCTAGATAGGTAAGTTTTCGTAGACCGCGGGCAATCATGTTTTAACAAGTTTTTGTTAAATAACCCGGTTTGTGCATTCCTGTATCAATCGGCTGGTTCATAGAATACTTGTTCTTACTTGTTGAGTACGATTGAGCGTCGAATGAGATAAACGAGTTTATGCATGTTTGTCTTATTCCTGCCGGTGCGTCCTGCTTATCCAATCCTATATAAACAACGTAATATTAATTAAGTTCAACACTTAAGGCCCGTTTAGATGGAGAGAGTTTATCGCACGCTTCGTGACGAAAAATCGTACGCGATTATCGTAAGCAATAATCGCCATAAGATTATCGTATCATAATGTTTACATTCTGGCAAGAACTAAAATCTCGCCTACGATTATGTCATACGAGATTCGCAAGCAACTTAATCGCCTCCTCGACTGTTTACACAGATAAATATGTAGTAAGGAGATTCTTGCTTACGAGGTTTCGACTTGTCTAAACACGGTCTCGTATGACATTTTTTCAAGTTCATACGATTATCGTACAAATCGGTTCGAACCGTTTTGAGTGCGAGAATTGCCATTCGAGTTGAGTGATTACTGCGGTATTGACTATGGACTTATCAAAATGACGCAAAAATCATTCAGATTTGGAACTGCATAGAAATATACATTTTTTTATTTTATTTTTCAAATATAACATTTCTTAATCCAAAATTTTTTTCGTTCTTGTTTCAATAATTCTTGTCTTAGAAAAGCAGTGATAATCAAAACATACTCGCACACTGCACTCGTGGTAGAAACGGCTGGCACAGAAACTTGAAATACGATTTTTGCTTTCGAGTTCTGTTTACACGGAGACGTTCAATATTCAAAGGCGGGGCGATTATCGCTCACGTGGACGGTCGATAATCGTATGTTCGAGACGAGAAACTCTCTCCATCTAAATGAGCCTTTACTTACGTATTTCTCAAAAGAAAACAATGCCGGAAGTAAAAAAGAAGAGACGGCAATACTGTGCGGAATATATTAAATTCGGATTCATTGAAAATCCCACAAACCCATCGTCGCCTTTGTGCCTTCTATGTCTAAAAACATTCGAATGAAGCAATGAAGCCTTCAAGACTGCAAGATCATTTGAGTAAAAAACATCCAGATAAGAAAGACAAGAATGTAGCATATTTTCTAGAGAAGAAGCATAATACTCAGCCAAGTGTAGCAAAACTCTTTCGGCGGCTGCTAAGCAAGATGACGACGGACTTCGAACTTCGTACAATATCTCTTTGTTAATTGCTCAAAAAGGCAAACCACACAACATCGGAGAAGAGTTAATTTTGCCAGCAATTAAGGAAGTAGTAACTACTGCGCTTCATAAATCGGCCGTAGATATTATCAGAAAAATTCCTTTGAGTAATAATTCTGTGCAAAGACGAATTGATGAAACGGCTGAAAACATTGTAGAGTCATTGTGCAATCATCTGAGGACTAGTCAATTCTCAATTCAGCTCGATGAGTCCACTTTACCAACTAATGAAGCATTGCTGCTGTCTTACGTGAGGTTTATTAAAGATGAGAAAATATTGAAAAGAAGAATTATTGTTTGCTAGAAATTTAGAGACCGATACAAAAGGCGAAACCATATTTATTACATTGGAAAAGTTTTGTGAAGAGAAAGAGATTCCCTTGAGAAATATTATATCAGTTACTACGGATGGCACTCCGGCTATGACAGGGTGCCATAAAGGCTTCATAGCGTACGTGAAAAATAAAATTCCAGATGTCCTTGCTGTACATTCATAGACAACATGGTTGGTAGAAATTTAAGTGAACGACTATTTCAATCACTGCAATATGTCATCAAAGCAGTCAATAAAATCCGTAACAGCTATTTGAATGATACGATTATTTCATCAGCTTTGTGTTACTAATGACGAAGATTTCAACCGTTTGTTGTTTCTTCATACTGAAGTTCGTTGGCTATAAAGAGGCATTTGTCTGACTCGATATTATAACCTGTTTGACTTTGTGATAGAGTTCTTGGAAACTAAAAAAAAAAAAAGAATTGCGCAACAAGCTCATTACATCAAAGAATGATATAGCTTACATGACAACCCTGTACAAATTGTTCAACGACATGAATCTCCAACTGCAAGGCGATGAACTAAATTTCATTAAAACAAAAAATGTCATTGCTGCTTTCGCAGCCAAACTGCTTCTACACAAAAAGTATATGGGCAGACCTGAGTTTCACAATTTTCCGAATTTATCAATATCTTGTGTGACGACTTGTTTGTCTACTGCCAACATTTGGAAAACCTCCACATTGACTTCACCGAACGATACTAGGACATTTTGAACTTGGAAATACCAGACTGGGTGTTGGATCCGTTTTCAAATGTCAACACAGCAATATCACCTCAGCTGGAAGAACTTATAGAATTGACAACGAACGAGGAAATAAAAATCAAGTTCAAAAATGGCTACCAAGAATTTTGGCTACAAAATCCGATCCCGCAATTCTACCCTGGATTGTGGTCAATCGTTCAACGATTCTTGATAGCATTCCCATCGTCATATTTGTGTGAACGTGGTTATAGTGCTGTGACAACGCTGCTTACTAAAAAGAGAAATCGTTTGCTTGTTACCGAACGTGGTGACTTGCGGCTGTTCTTGAGTAAATTGGAACCTGATATCAACAAACTTATTAAACATTCATCTTTCACATTAGTTTTTATATTAGAATCGATTATGTTTGTTTTATTTTGAATAAAATATACTGTCTGAATGCTATAAAGTTGCGTTTCAATAATCATTCTCATTGGCAGGTGTAGCCCGTAAGAGTTAATTTGAGACCTGAGCGCCGTTGTAAACTACCTACTACGCTCAGGTCTCAAGTTAACTCTTGCGGGTTATTGTAAAAGTCTCGTTTATAATGAATGTTTAATCTCCGCTAATATAGCTCACAATAATTAATTTAATTTGAAGTTATAGTGGTTCTTAAGTGGATGAAAAAATGGGAGCGCTAAAAATAATTTATTCTCAAAGTGGGCAGTAGACAAAATAAGTTTGGGAACCGCTGATTTATAGCATTAACGTAAAAAAGTAATAGTATCAGGTCGGGTAAGGTACAAATCAACGAATATATTTATGCCACAAAAATGATCACAACTTATTTATTATACATTTTGTACTCTCACTGACTTTACTTACTTATTCATGTGCATAAGTGAAGTCACTGTGGCATAATGAAAACAGAATCAAAACACAATATGCATTTGCTAGGTATTTGGTTTAGTTATTGCATTAGAAAATTTGGTTAGTCCAAAGTATAGATGTGTTATCTTTTATTTCAGTGTCAGTAGATACGGATGATCCCATACCGCTACGTCGCCTCAACCTGGCGAGGTTACTCCTGTTGTACGTTCGGAAATTCGAGCTCACCGATCCCTCTGATGCTCTGCACTATTATTTCTTTTTGAGGTAAGAATGTTTTGAGGAATCCATAATGATAGCCAGTTACTTCAAAATCGCAGGGTATTTCGTTCAGTTAACGCCTAATTATGACTTTGGTAATAAAGCGCTTTTTTTCTTTAATAATATTTTCGTTGGACTGATCGTTGTACAGCAAAATTAAAAAACATTAAGCGTGTTAGCTGTACCTAATGTACCATCGTAGGATTTGATCTAGTGCTATCCCTAAGTATTGACTACGGAGAAACTTATAGCCCTGTCTCTAAGGATCGGTGCGGCTAGCGTGCATAGTTTCCGTTTATAAATAAAAAAGTACCTAACCTTAAACAATAGTATAATATGTACGAGATTTTAAGGCCTAATTATGTAATGATTGCACACAATACTTTTTTCTACAATAAAATAAAATTATGAAACAGAACCAATAATTAATGTATATTTTGTTAACAATCCATGACAGTGATTTATCAAAATAAATTCAAATCAATAATTTTCTTAATAAATTTTATCCTGTTTATTAGGTTAGGCAAAGGTTCAAACATATAACCTCTGCGAGTATTTACACGAAAGTCAAACAAACGCTACAATACAAAAAACCAAAGAGATGGAATAGAACTGACCAAGTACAGTCAAGAAAACGTCAAGCTCGACACTTTGTTCTTTGGACCGTTCTTATCGTAAGCGGCTTAGAGTTGGATTTAAATCTTAAGTGTCAAAGCTTGACGTGCTCTTGACCCTGTACTACAATATTTTAACCAATTTTTTTTGATAAATAATAATAATAACGCACACACTCAACATAGCCCGGCACTAGGGAAACCCTGTGTCGCGGGTGCCATGGACACACATAGACAACCACAAATTACACCCAAACTCACGAGAGAAATAAATGTAGGCCATACAAATATTTCTCCCGGCCCGAGAATCGAACCTGGGGCCTCTGCGTGGCAGTCCGGCATGGTAACCGTTCGGCCACAGAGGCAGTTAAAAGTAAAAATATATAATAATAAAAAAAAGTAAAGATTTAGAGCCCGGTTGCAAGACTTTTAAGCGAATTTAATTCATCATTTAATTAGTAAAATACATTGACCTACCTACAAATGGACAACGGGTCTAATACAAAAACCATGAAAAAAATGTCCGAGGTTAACCTATACAAACGTAGTGACATGTAACGAAATATAAAAAACTAAAACATTTAATTTAAATTGTAACGTCATTGCAGTACTGCCTAAATTTGCTTACAACAATTTAAGAGCCCTAAAACACCATATTCAGCTTCTACTGGAAACTTAACAAAATGCACCATATTTAGCTTCGACTGAAAATTACTTGAACACAAGAGTAATGGAATTCCTTCCTCGTAAATATTAATTAATTTTTTTATATATTCTTATGTCGCATTTTATACAAATTCACTTAAAGGTATAATAAAGAGTTGGGCAGATACATACATATAATTATTACTACAAAAGTGAAAAAAAGTGTGTACTATAAGAAATGTACCGATATTCTAACTAAACCTAAACTCAAATATCCGTAATTCCGATTTATAACAAAACCGTTACGCTTTCGAGTAATTTTGATGCTTTTTACATAGACAAAATTAGCTTTTGTTTTGTAATCTACGTAAAAAACACATTATGAAAATTCGAGCTAATGTTATTTCGGGCAAATGTATTTTCTGACTTCTGATAGATAATCCCATGCCGTAAAACGAGTACAACAATATTTTGTTAGTTATTGCTAACGTTTAATAAAAAAATCATTTTAAAAATAGGAATAAAATCAAAGCAACTCTACAGTTTCTTTGTGCTAAATATTTCAATCGCTTGTGGTTCGAACAATTGAAAATGACCAAGAAGTTTATATTATAAGCTTCTTGAAATTAACGTAATGGGTCTCTTTCATGGAATAAATTTCATGAAATACGAGCCTTAGGGTCGTATTCCAGAACTCTACTCAATGCTCAAGTCAGGACTTGAGTATTGCAGTGAGCACTGAAAATCATACTCGAGTCCTTGCCATTAGGGTCGTATTTCCAGTGCTTGAAATCATACTCAAGTCTGCTCAAATCCTGACTTGAGCATTGAGTACAGTTCTGGAATACTAACCTTAGAGTCGTAAGCGACATAGAGTTGGATTTAAATCTTGAGTGTCAAACTTGACGTGCTCTTGACCCTGTACACGAGTTTTAAATAATTCATTGTCCTCAGAAATCTTAAAGATCCCAGTGGCAAGAATCTATTCATGTGTTGCTGTACGGATTTGGCGCTGGAGAGTCGCGACTACGATTTGTTGTTTGGTCACGCCGACGCCGTCACGGGGCCACGCACTCCCGGTTTGCTAGACCAGTTCAACACTCCCCACATTGACACTAAGGCAATTATCCAACAGATCAAATAGATGATAAGATATAGACTACGAGATTCGTTTTCAGATAACCTCAAAAAATGTGTCCCTTTCAATCACTTTTATATTATTATATGAATGCTAAATATTATTTATTTAATATGATTGCTTGTTTACTTAGTCTGTGTTCCACATAAAAAGACGACTTTACTACGTCACAGTAATAAATGAAAATTAAAAGTGGGTAATTTCTCATTCATGGGAGCCTGTTCCACGTCGCCCTAATTATAAGAAATGAAGAAAAAGAATTAAACAATCGTGGAAATTGCAATTTTTCCCATCGAGGATAAACTTTAATAACTTTCACGTCGACTACACACCGTAACTTTCCAATTTATTATAAAGTATGTCTTCTTGAGAATACAAAATATCATTAGTGTTATTTCAACTAAAAACCTCCTAATAACAAAAGTTCATACCGCATCACCTTCACCCTTCGCACACGTGAGAAGAGGCTCCTGTCGGATTGGAGTGTACACAGTGGAGTAACCTGTGCAAATCCGTTTAACAAAAGATCGACTTAAATACCAATTTCAGTGCTAGTGACTAAATCGTTCTCATTCATGTCAAATGTAAAGCAATCTATCTAAATAAATATTATGTAATAGTCTTATAAACTTTATTGTGCATCAATTAGACAAAGGGACTTTAAAATCGACGCACTCTTATAACGTTCCAGAATATTGTAAGACTTTGACAACTAAAAATTAATCCAAATATCATTATTCTCGCTCTCAATCTTGTCTACTTTTAAGTTAAATAGTTACTTTAAGCCAAATATTTACTTTGTGTGTTAATGGTAGTTGGTAATGGTGGTGGTGGTGAGGATGATGACAATGAACGTGTGTGTGATGGCGAACGACGATGATGGTGACTATGTTGATCATGGTGATTGTAGTTATGATGACATATTGATGTGCAATAAAGTTTATATGACATTAACAAAATACTTATTTAGATTTATTTATTACATATAGATCGATAGCCTTACACGGATGAGAAGGATTTTGATACAAGAAATGATATTAAAATATTTACTACATGCTAAATGTTCTTTTGTGAATGATAAAATGTGTGTCGTAATAATAATTTCTCATTACTGTGCCGTCCTATCATTTATGTTTATGAGAAAATCATTCGTGTTACCGCAATCTCATTCCTGTGACCTAATATATCGTTATTTGTTACATTTTACTTAAATATTTCCGTAATGTAATAATTATTGATATTGTTTGAACTTATTTGGACGTGTAAGACCTTAAAACCAAAAGAAAAAAGGGTTTTACAAAAATCACTCAAAAGTAACATTGAAATTCGGAAAGTGAAATTCCCCCACAAGGTATATTCTACCGAAGAAAGTTTCAAGGTTAAACTATTCTAACTAGATAAAAAGGAAAGTTGATGCCACATTGTATGTATGAGGTTGAGAAAAAAGTTAGAGAAGTAAATAAGGTTTACTCAAATCAGGACACTTTTTCATGATAATGATAAATGCTCGAAAAATATAAAGTTCGCAAAAATTGACATTACATTATCTGCTTTTAGGTCGTCGCACTTAACGTTGCTGAACAACTAGTCAACAAAGGATTGTTTGAAGATGCAATTACTGTATATGACATTGCAGGGGTGAGTTGTTTAAATCATTACCACTCTCCACGACATTGTGCTGTTGTCATGTATAAACTGTCATTGATGAATTTTCCTTCATCAGAATCTGGAGAAAGTACTGGAATTATTCTGCATACTGCTTGCTCAAGTAGTAAACAGCGGTGGTGGCGCAGGCGGTTTACGCGAGCGGCTTTCAATCCTGGCGGAACATGTTTCACGTAGCCTGCGCTCCGCGGACGCCACTGCCTTACCCGCTGCGTTGGTGGAAGCCTATACGAAACTTTACAAGCTGATGACCTTCTTTGATCAGTTCCATAATGAAAATTATGATGCTGCCCTCGAGGTGAGCTTAAGACTTATATTAATGTTTGTCAATGTAATAAGATCCAGTTTGTAAGTATTGTTATAATGGCCTGTTATTTTAGTGTGTATGGTAAAATTTTCTATAAAGTTCAGTAAAACAATTTCTCGTCTTTGTTATTACAGACTCTTCGCGAATGTGAACTAGTGCCTCTGAGCCCAAGTGAATTGGAAAGCCGTGTAAGCGCAGCGCGGTGCGCACGCGGTGAATTGCTGCGCGCTCTGCCTGCTGTGTTGCGCGCGCTGTGCACCATTCTGCTCGCGCAACGACAGAAGCTACGTCAGCAACCGCAAGTTCTCGGCGCACCCACAAACAATAAGGTATGTATTAAATTGGCAAAAATAAATGCAGTTATTTACCGCAACACTTGTTGCAATTATTTGAAAATGTGAATCTAGACTTAAAATTGAGATTTGGATATATAATATGTATTAGTTTATGTCTCATGTTATAAAACAAGAAAATACATAGACCAAAGTTCTGATACTTAGTATTGTTCATCAATTGTAGTAAAAAATATATGACAAACTTTTGTTTGGTTTGCAGCAAGTGGAATGGCTTCGCACGCAGGCTGAGGTACTAAATACGTTCGCGGGCAACATTGCATACAGAATGCCCGGTGACACATACAGTCAGCTTGCACAAATGCAGATCCTCATGCACTGAACATCGTCAATTGCCTAAATTAGTTTCTTAATACGATATAAAATCCTTACATACAAAAACCAGTTGTCTTTTATTTATTTAATATTATTAAAACCTATACATTTCTTACAGCCTATTGCTGTGTTCTACAAATCAGTCTTCTTAAGTCTTCCAATTACCTCATAAAGTATCATATATTCCAACCACTCAAACACTGTAATAAATTCTCTCAGACAACTGCCTTCTAATTTCAATGCCGATATAGAAGTCATTGACATTATTATCAGGCATTTCAGTCACTTCATTCCCCATTGTCATTTGACCAGTGTTAATATAAGGTTCAGAATCTGGCAAACCAGCTGTCACACACAAATTATGTAAAACTGCACATGCATTAATTATTTTTGCTGCTCTCTGAGGAGTATAATGTAATGGACGTTTGTGCAAGCATTGCCATCTTCCTTTTAGTTTGCTAATGCATTTATCTATACAGGTTTTAGTGCGCCCATGGAAGTGATTGTACTGATATTCTGGGGTACCTTGAACAGCTTGTATCACTGGTGTCATAAGCCATGCTCGTTGTGGATATTTGTTGTCAGCTGGAAAAAGGCAACTAATATTCAGTAAAATTTAAATAAATTATTAAACTATAGTCTGTTCTGATCTATTTTGAACAAAAAGTAAACAAACCAGTTTGGCTAAAATTCTAAAGCAATCACTCAATAAATCGAACAAGTAACACTTTCATGTATATTTCGAAGATTTCGACTTGATATATCATCACTTTTTCCAACAATATTCATTTCAATAGCATCGTAAAATTGTATTTGAAAAATGGCAGTCCAAAAGTGAGCTTATTATTCATCTATACTTCTATGACTTGCCTATGGTTGCATAGTGCTGTTCGAAAAAAAACATTCAGTTAAATCAATAAAGTATAGATTATTAAATTGAACATTTCAATCGCAATCAAACGAGTATCTTAGTGTAAGGATGGATCGGGTCAGTGACTTGTTTGTTTACTTTCTGTTCAAAATGGATTGAAAAGAAGTATATAACATAACCAAAGTCATGTGTCAGTGAAAATTTGATTCATAGAATGTGATGAGATTATATTCTAATTTGGAATATGCAAGCAAGTATGACATAAAAGGGAACTGTACCAATTAGCCATCCAGGCTCTCCTTGTCTGTTTATATTTTCAATATATTGCCTTATATTCATCTTGTTCCAAATATAAGCATTATTGGATGCCCCTCCAAATCTACAGCATACTGCAATTATTTTCATGTCAGCATCACAAATCTATGAAAAAAAAAAATGGTAGAATATTCTCTGTTAAAGGTATAGAGCAATCAGAATTAGACCTTACTTACAAATTGCGCATTTATGGAATATTGTCCTTTTCTATCATAGAAAGCTTCCTCATCATCTCTAGGACAGACAATTTCAATATATGTTCCATCTAGACACCCTATTGTTTCTGGAAATTGGAATTTTCTATAGAAACTGAAAAACAAATTAAGTAATAAATGTGATTACATTAACATTACTTACTTACGACTGGAGACGGCGACATAGATATCTTTAATATAAAAAATACTAAGCAGTTTCTTCATATGTGCAAGCAATTTGTTTGAACTTATGAAACTTGTAAAAGTATCTATTATAGATAACTAATTATTACTGTACTTTTATATTTCTAATTATATATTTTCTTTAGTATCTCATTGGTTAACATTAGATTTTTAGTGATGTATACACCTGTAGTGACTTGGCACCTTGTATAGTGAACCTGTGTGTATTTTTTTTTAATATTGTTTTGTAACTATTTCAAAAGAGTAAAATAACTACATACTACCCACCCTTCCTTGACCTGATCTCTTAGTGAAACACTGGCTGGGAAAACTACCCAGTTGTCCAGCACCTCACTGAAACCTTCAATAATAATTCTGATAATTCTGCTTACAGATTTTTGTGATATGTTGATATTGAAATCTTTGCTAACCGATTTCTGGTGTGACCCACTGGCTAAGAACGATAAGGTGACAAGCACCTGGAAAAAATATGTTTTTTTATATAACCTAAATTATAAATGAATGATTTAAAACTACTCTGAGCACGTAATGTATTTTTTTTTGTTTGTTAACTAAACATGTATTGTTTTTGATGGATTTACCTTTAGAGGAAACGGTATGCCATTAGAACGCTGAGTCTTCGGTACAACAGGCTCCAATATTCTCAAGACTTGGTGAAACACCGCTCTATTTAAAGCACAATTTTTCAATAAATACGAATCCGGTAGATTAATACAATCTGACAAATCTCGTAGGGTTCTTCGGGCTATTCTTTCTCTGTAGGTATAACCTCTCATTAACTGTAATTTCAAAAAAATATTCATCTCTCACACAAGACCGTATCACGACCGTATTTCGTTCGTATCGCCTTTTTTTCCATCCTCTAAGGTATCGCCGTACTCTTTAGTATCGCCATTCACCATTAATTTTTCTTTTTTTTTTCTCTTATAGTTTGGCACTATGGCGTCCAGCCTTTGGCCATATGCAATTTCCACTGAGTTGCAAATTTTTGATAATTCTTCCAAATTGATATTTTCTTGCATTCTTGAGATTTCAGCGTAGCAGTTGTTGTTGTGGAACTTTGGTTGGGTTTATGGATATTAATATGAAATTAAAAACGGGGAAAGGAAATCGCGGAATAAAAATAAAAGCAAACGGAATTTTGGAAAGGTGATCAATAGGATAGGATAGGTAGTATATTTATAAGTAAATCTAACCAATGAAGGATGGAAATTATGAAAGGAAATGAGATGATAATAGCTGAAAATAATGATAATTGAATAAATAATAATTGTAAACGGAATAAATAATAGGGGTTTAAATATGAAATTGCCGATTTATTTTACTGGCCACTTTAAATTAAAATTAAACCTGTATGGTGTCCGATTTCAGAGTGAAACGTTTTTCACACGAAAAGTAAAACATGCTTAACTTAAAAAACATGATATTTGATTGTTCGACTTTCAATTGTTTTTACATTCAGCTTTTAACGTGAAGACAGATCAGCGAAAATCTGAGTACCTAATTTTCGAATACGAATTTCCACATGGAGTTAACGTAGCAGAAACTGTCAATGCTGTATTTGGAGAGGATACGGCATACGCAAATACGGCAAACGCCGGCAATACGGCAAATTACGACTTGAAGAAAGAACCACGAGGAAGACCAGTCACAAATGTAAATAACGTTGAATTGAAGGTAATGATGGAAGCCGATCCGTATCAAACTACCACGAAACGTCATGGTTTAATGTTAGCATACCCACAATATGACATATGGCGTTTGAATAATGACGACGGAAATCGCAGCAAAACAGCTTCACCGTTATTGCTCTATGATAACGCAACACCTCACACTGCTTGAGAAACAGTTTTACTACTACAAGACCTGCAGATATGAATTATCCATCATCCTACATATTCGTCGGACCTCGCCCCGACCGACTACCATTTTTTCCCGCAATTAGATTTTTTTTTGTATGGAAATAAAATTCCCAGGAAGCAGTACAAAAATCCCTTCACACAGCTGCGGAGTCCAGGTCTCCAGACTTCTATCGCAAAGGTTTAAATGACCTTCCGATTACATGGCAGAAATGTATAGACAACAAGGGAAAAAACTTTGATTAAACAAATATATTTAATCTTAAAAAAAATTGTTTTAATTTTTCAGTGCGAAACGGCAATTTCATACTTTAACCCCTAATATTATACGATAATAACAGAGGAATAGATGTTGGTAAAGGAATTTGTATAGAAATTATAGATTGAAAAAATGAAGCACGATCATATCTTGGACAGGAAAAGAAAAGGTGGTTCAGACTGCCAATGTCTTGTTCGCATTCGCACATTGAATCAGATATTATATTAAGTCTAGCAAGATGTTCAGTTGAGCAAGTATGTCCTAATCTCGTTCTTGTAATGATTGAAGTAATACGTTTCTCAAAATGTATACGCGAAAACCAGGGTTTGACAGGGATGTCGGACTGTATATCACGAAAATATCTGCCCGTAGCTTTACTGCTTGTTTCCCACACAGTTTGCCAAGATTCTTTAAGGTAAATAGCAGGTAGTGTAGCCAAGTCATGAGCAAAGTTTCTATATAAATCTACATCGCCGTTATTTATTGCATCTTTAGCTAAGATATCGGCTCTCTCGTTACCTCTAATATCACTGTGACTTGGTATCCACACAAATAATACAGAAAGACCCTTTGAATGGCACTTGTAAAGGGCTTCACGAATTTGACAAATAATTGGGAAAATGTTACCTGATTTAAAAGGGAATTTACATAATGACTGCAGAGCACTTTTACAATCAGAAAATATTATTGTTTTATGTAATTTTATTAAGAGAATGTATCCAACTGCCTTAAGAAGACCTACGCATTCACCAGTGAAAACGGATGTTTCAGGAGGAAGCTTTGTTTTTTGAATGATATTGTATTAAGAATGAAGAACACCCACTCCTACGGCCGAGTTATCTAGTTTAGAGGCATCAGTGAAAATATGGTTGTAGGAATGCCAATTCACATCTAAGTTAATGTTAAAGGAAGCGTTAGCAAAACGTCTATTAACTTCACTAAAATCAAAACAGACGTCAGGGGGCAAAATAAGGCATTCATAATTACTACCGTATAATGGGTGAGTGTTAAAACTATGAGTTGGAGCTTGTAATGTAAGATACTTTCTAAAACTATTTAACACTCACATATAAGGCAAGGAGTACTTTTGTCAGACCAATAACCAGGTGTATTTATTAGATTGTTTAATAGCTCAAGTTTTTGCAGCAAAGGGTGACGATTAAATTGGATAATGCGGAAAAAGAATTTATCAGCTAAAAACTGTCGACGAAGGGCAAGCGGAGGTTCAACGCACTCCACTTGCATCGCATTTATCGGACTTGATTTCATAGCACCGGTTATTATTCTGAGGGCCTTCGACTGAATCTTATCTAGCTTTTTAAGATTAGACAAGACACATGGCTCCAGCATAAAAGATCCATAGTCAATTATACTCCTAATCAGAGCATTATATAGCAGTTTTAAAGAGTACGAATGGCTGTCCCACCAGACCCCGCATAAACATCTAAGCATGTTAAGAACCTTTTCACATTTATTAACAACATAATCACAATGAGGAGATCCATTCATTTTACAATCAAAAAGAATACCAAGATATTTAACTTCGCCAACAACAGGGATTAGGTTATTATTAAAAGAAACATTTATTGCAGGATGAACTTTACGCCTTGAGAAAAACACAATGGAGCTTTTGCTAGCAGATAACTCCAGACCATTCGAATCTAACCAGCACTTTAACAATGTCAATTTATTTGATAGTACATTCACGGCTTGGTCACTTAGATTAGATTCAACATATAAAAGAACATCGTCAGCATATTGTAAAATAGAAACTCCATTACCTAAATACCTGTCTAAATCATGAGTGTATATGTTGTACAGTATGGGACTCAAAACAGATCCTTGCGGAAGACCTTTATTTATTGTCCTCTGTAAAGAATATTCATAATTTATAACATTAATAGTTCTATTGTTTAATAAATTTATAATGAAGTTAGATAATAATGGTGGAACCTTTAAACAATCTAATTTTGATTTTAAAATTCGAAAAAGAACATTATCATATGTCTAAAAAGGATGTACAAAAAAAAATGGAATGAAAAAAAAAGGATGGAAAGATGTACAATTCTACTTCAAGAGCATTATAAAACATAAATATTCTTTTTGGTAAAACTTGCCCATCAAAGGTCACAACTACAGTTTGGGAGGGTTTCCACGTAGTTTGATTGTCAACAGTCACCTTATAGTTTAAACGTCTTATCTTAACAATATCTCCACAACCAATAGGAACTGACATACTTTCTTTCACTTCTTCGGGGGTAAGGTCTGCAGGAACTCCACGAACTAGGCCCATTCTGGTAATGCTGAAGGTAGGTATAAAAGCTTTGTAATTGCTAGCTACCAAACTAGTGTCATTCAAGAAAAAATTAGCGCTCTGGAAGTCTGAGAAGGATAGGGAAACTCTGTTCCTGCCAATCTTTTTCACACTACCATTAATTATGTTTTTAAAACCATTCTTTTTAAGAAAATTGCCAAAGTGAACTGGGTGTATAGAGGTTCCGTCATTAAAGGAAGTGGTTAATCTTTGTACATGAACTACATACGGAGAGATATCTTGAAGCTCAAACAATCGGCGGCCTGGCAAATCCTGGTCTTTCTGGGTAGTATTAGTATTCGTAGAAGAGGTAGGTAAGGGAGCAGCAACAGGCTGAACCGGGGAAGATGATGGGGGCGTCAAGAAAACTTCTGTGGTACTGTTAAACTTGGTACCTACCGCAAATGTCGCTATCTGAACAACCACATCCATTATCTGATTGAGACTTATGCTTACGTTTTTTCTTATTGCAATGTTTGCAAATTTTACGCTGCCGAATACGTTTTCTTCCTTTTAGAGAGTTATCAGTATGGTCCGTGTCCATACTGGAATCATTGGAGGCAATAATCACGTTTCTACCAACTGAGGGGACTGTGCCCCCTGGATCAGGGGGCTCGTCGATTTTAGGCGAAAGGAAAAATGATAAAACTCACCAGATGACGATGACTATTTACACAAAAAACAATATATACAATCAAATAAATAGTATTTACACAAATACTACACTCCTGACCACCTAATTACAATTATTATTAAATATTCAATTTCTAAGCCGAAAAAATTAACCCGCCTAAATCGAGCTTTCCCGCGCTTTTTCCAACCGCCATAAATTAGAAAGATATAGTATAATTAGTATAGCGCATTGACGTCATACATATAGCGTATCGCACTTTTATTTTCTCTTATAGTTTGGCACTGTGGCGTCCAGCCTTTGGCCAAATGCAATTCCACTGAGTTTCCACAAAATTCCACAAATTTTTGGTAATTCTTCCAAATAAATATTTTCTTAGAGGATGGAAAAAAATAGTCTAAGCTATCGTAGGAATGGGCGTTACAAATCGTATATAATTATTGAAACTATATATTGGGCAATATCATTGACTTACAATTATATGGACGTCGGGTCCGCGCTAAAAAGTGTCCGCACTTGTAAGGCGCTAAAATCGTATACAGAGCGCGACACTCCGCTTTAGTCTTCATTTGTTCGACTGACAGCGCGATACTGTGATGACATTACAATTTAAATTTCGAATAGGTTGACTTGGGGGTTGACTCGAATAGGTTGATTTTTTTCGTAGTTTTTGTATTAGACCCGTCGTCCATTTATTTGTAAGTCAATGGGCAATATAGAATATCCGATATCGTATCTTAGAAACTAAATATCGATATTGCTCCGCATCGCGTATTTCTTTGTAGCGGTGCCGAATGAAGCCGAGCGATTACCGAGTGGATACCAACACGAAATCATATATTTTTCAAACTATATACCGATTGCTTCGTATCAGATTTTCACTGAGTGGATATCAACGCGAAACCATTTTTTGTGCGTCTTCGAAACTGTATACTAACATTAGCCCGCATTACACTTGTAAAACCATATCCAATAAATATATTATTTTAATTAATTTCGAAATTTGATTCCGAATATCAATAACGGCGATGTATCAACGCAAATTATAGTTTTAGAAAATAATAGTTTCGAAATCCGATTTCGAATATTGATATATAGTTTCGATACGATACTCAGAAAAAGCTATATTACCATTCCTAAGCTATCTGTCAAACAAATCTGAATAGTGAGGTGAGTAAAAATATCGATATATCAAAATATTGATTTTTTTCCATGAAATAATCGATATATATCGTTGATATTTTTAACTCGATTTGTCAGAGATCGATTTTTTTCGAGTATTATTTTCGATATGGATGCCAGACATGGTCACTTAACTAAACAACAATACAAAATCTTGTTGTTTGTCAGAATAGTATGGAAAGAAGTGTGATCAACATATAAGTGGATAAGGGATATTGTGGAATGGTACGCAAGAGACGGAAAAAGGAAGAAAGGGAAACCATACTTTAGATGCGAAGACGATTTTAAATATATTGTTGGAGGAGCATGGAGGCTAACAGTAAACGATAGGGAGAAATGGAAATCTCTGGAAGAGGCACATGTTTTAGGACAAGCTGACGGTACCGAGTCAACAAATTGAGTAATAACAAATAAGTAAAATATAATAAGTACGCATGGCATAAAATGTCTGTGTGTGTGTGTGTGTGTGTGTGTGTATGTGTGTGTGTGTGTGTTTGTTGTGTTTGTGTAGATATCTTAGTAAGTTATCAGCAATAAAGCCTATAAATAAATAAAATAAAGTCTTTTCGATATTTTTATCGTAGTCACTGCAAGTGCTTCATGAATATTTGAAAATAATACCAATACGTCTTAAAAAACTGATACTGCGGACTACTAGCGGTGGGCGGAGCTTGCTGGAGTCTCGCTTAACACAGAGGGTATCCTGCTCGGCATTGCGAGCATTATGAATGTTGTTGCAGTGTGTAAGCCACACACTGCAACAACATTCATAATACTGCAATACGCGGCGGAAGTGGACTGCAATGCAGGATAATGAATGGGCCCCTGTAAGCACTTGCTGTGGCTGAGCTAAAAAATATCGAAAATGATACGAGAAAAAATATGTCGATTTCTTACATATAGAGTTTAAAAATATCGATGATAAGTCTCGATTATTACATGATAAAATATCGATATTTTTCCCTCATCCGTACTTGAACGGATTGGATGGATCATAAAAAATTACCAAAGATAATTAATCTTTGGTATTAATTAATTTATTACGCTCAAATAGAATCTAAATAGTACGTTTTAGCTAAGGTGGAAGTGCTTTTTATTTGTTACTTAATCAATCGATAAAATTATATAGGGAAAGAAAAGTGTTATATTACACCCGTAAAAGGTGGAAGGTGAAATTGACGGTAAAATTCTAAAAGGACGCTGTGAAACATTATTTATTGTTTGTTTAGTAGCAATAGCATTTAATATTTGGTCTTTAACTTGGATGTTTTGTATTGTTTTCAGATCTTGATTCAGTAGGTTCTGAAGACACTATGATAGTCAACAATACTATAGCGCATCAGCGTTTAGTACTTACAGGAGATCGTGAGAGGTTTGTACTTATTATTACCTACTACAACAACCGCACATTTCTGACAGAATTTCCACTGGTTGCAGTATAAAAGCAACTTTTGTAATAAAGATGACGATACAAATTATTAGCAAACTGTGAAATTACACCATTTTACATGTTATCTTCTATGTTAAGCTTTTAAGTTCTATAATTCCTTTGTTTTGTTTAATGTATAAACATTTATTAGATAAAAAAAATGTAAGTCACTGGTTAAATACTTCCATTCAATTGTACAATTTTTGAAAGTATTTAGAGCTACATTCGTGTTCTAGTTTGTAAAACATCACACACATTGGTGTTTTTATGTTAATGTAGAGTAGTCAGTTCACAACAAATTATAATTATTTGTCCACAGATTCAAAGAACTTTTACGGAGACGTTTAATAGAATGTGGGTGGAGAGACCAAGTCCGAATGCTTGTTCGTGATTTTGTAAAGGAAAATGACAGTAGCAATGTAACTTTAGATATGTTGATCACTAAGGTCACACCACGGGCACGGGCACTAGTTCCTGACACTGTCAAGAAAGAGCTATTGCAGAAAATTAAAACTCATCTTCTCACACAAAAGGATCAGTAAATCTGTATCATATTCTGGTCATTAATCTCATACATTTCTAGGTTGCATTTAAATATATTTAAGTTTGCCTTTATTTGAAGAAATAAAAATCTAGTGCTACAACCAACAGTATATTTCATTTATAAACATTTACACATTTAGATTAAACAAAAATATATATTGCTTATACGTAATACTGCCACAGATCCCATAAATGTAGTCATGAAAAGTGAATGTCATGCAATAGAGCTTTATGCTGATATTTTTTTTAGCGGACTGGTAGCATGGACTCAAGATATACATAACACAACAGTTAATTGAAATGAGTGAAGCTTAGTAAAATATCCTGTTTACATTTTATATTGATACTTATTTGACATATTAGTACCTAGTCCTAAAAGAAACATCAATTGAATTTATATTAATCCACAGCTAGGGCAGGATCTTAAAAATAGTCCACTCATTGGGAGAATTTAAAATATTTTACAGTTTGTAGTGAAATATATAGCAGATTTTACGCTATAAATGGCTCATATAAGATTATATATGGTTTGTTTACAATACTGAATTTATTGTACTAAGTGGTATGCTCTAACAATATGTAGTTGAAATTTAAAAAATACATAGAACATTGTAATTGTACATCCACAGGTGAAAGACGAGTTAGTAGACTAAAATTAAAAGTGAATTAAAAATCATAAAATAAATTGAGTCAACAGGAACAGCACCTGCTGTTGAGCTTAATTTTCTATTAAATTATCTTGAGCAAATGAATTCTCATTTGAGAAGAAAAAAAATCGTAAATAAGATTCATTAAAAATATTCCTCTGAATAAAATTTACAATAAATGCATTTATAAAATATGTTGCCACACCATAAAATTTTTTGGAGACAATTAATAAAAGAGAATAGAAAACAAGACGGTATCAGACACCCATGATAGGGTTCCGTAGCTGATTTGGATTAATCCCATAATGTTTACATAACAACCTGTTTATTATCAAGAGTTAAAAATCATAAGTATTTCAGTGCGAGCATAATAGAGCACAAATTGGATCGTAATACAGTAAAATTTGCAATATGCATTGTTCTATTACTGGTATAGAAACCATTCGCTGGTACATTTTTTATTTTTACCATATTGTGTTGAATTTTATTCGCGCGTTGAAACGCGTCACTGCAGAAGGATGTCATTTAGCTAAAGCTTAGCAGACGCCACCGTCGTACCCGTGATATTATTTCAATTTGTATTATATTTTCTGTTCTATTTTAAATGGTTAACTCTTTTGATCCTTATTCAAAAGGAGACATCTTGTGAATAGAAAGTAGTAACTTACTTTTTCTTGACTTTACCGCTCATAGCCTTCAGGCTGATCTCAGGTAAAACAAGGCAAAGTAAACTTTGTTTTGTATGAAATTAGTTAAAATTGAAAAATGTTAGTACCTATATTATAAAAATACAATTTCAAGGAAATTTTGTTACAGTCTGTTATATTTTTTTTATTGAAAAAATTACATAAGTTATAGGTACCCGTACTTTCAAAATTTAATTAAAGACAGTTAATTATTATGAAAATAACTGACAGCGAACATCTCGAGACTAGAGCGCTTAACATACACGGAACCCAGGATCCATATTAGACATATTTTTTTTAACTTTAATGTAATCCACACGTCATATTTCATTAAAATATATATAGTATAAATAGACGGGTAAGGGCTGTGTCATACAGACAGAAGTGACGAAATTGTGTGGATTCTTAGTTAACTACAGAATTTAAAAAGAGGATTAGGAACAAACAAGTAATATTAGTATTTATTGATCTCAACTATGCAAAAAGGTAATTATATCTTTTCAATGATTAGCACAATCTGTATCAAAGAAACCCGCTTCGCTTGCAATGCAAAAAGACAATTAATAAATTGTGTTAAGAGAATTGTATCAACTTAAGTATTGATTTAAGACGTACATAAGTTTATTGCAAGTTGGACATTAGTCTGTTGTATGTATGTCCCACTTTTTCAATTAAAATTTATTTAGGTAAATAATATCAAAACATAACACCTTTCGACCAGGACGCCTTTGTCGGAAATAGTGGAACTATAATACAATTTAAAGTAAAACTTAATTTACACGAAACAAAATTACTGTATTTGTGTGGATTTATCTCATTTGCATTTTGTATAGAAATCATAAGTATAATATATCAGTATTAATAATTAATACGTGTATTTTAGAGTACAATAATATTGTTTACATCTCTCAAACCAAAGTGTTCTTAATACAGGTTACTTCATCGCGTCATAGATAAACTCACGGGCAATTTTTTAAATTAATGCCTAAAAATGAAATTTGTTAGGTGTTATAACTTACAATATATGTATATCACGCTCTTACCTCATAAGTTCATAACTGATGAGGTAATTCATTAGTCAAGATATTTCAAACTATACGTTCCGTTTGTTTTTTGCCCGTGAGTGTATCTTATTCAGCTTTTTATTCAAATGTACTGCACCTCATTATTCCATAAAGTCCCTTAACAAATGTACAGAAATACGAGAATATTTTTGACATAAAAATTACTAACACCAATTCATCTATATCTCAATTACGTACGTAAATAATAATAAGGCTTCAATTAAAAGAGAATAAATAAATGCATCCTAATAAATGAGAAAATTCAAATTGAATTAATGAGCAATTAATTTTTCTTAGTATAACATACTTAAAGCTTTTTGACACCTGATCTAAGTTTGATTACATAATAACTACTACATATGTACAAAGATATACAATTGGAATGTAATTTGGACTGATTTATACCTGTGCTTAAACAGGTATAATTGATTATGTATAATTTTATTTTTAATATAATTATATATCAGTACTCTCTTAAAAATAATAACTAATTAATAGTCTCAATACTTAAAAATCTACCATGTAACATTACATGTCGAGTAATTGATCAATCCATTTACACAATACTGTTGATTATGAGCAATTCAGTTTTATATAATAAGACATAGTTTGACACTTGGTCACGAGACCTTTCATAGTTCAGTTTATTGCCCCTAGACTGCGATTCGTATTTTTTTTGTAAATATTATTTTGCTTAATCAGCGAAAAATAATGTTATATACGTTGAAATGCAACAATATCTACAGCTGCCAATGAGATAAGGTAAAGTACTAAATTTTATATAAGAAATACATAGTAATCACATCTTGTAGAGATTCATACATTACTTAGGGATAACTATAATTCGATTAGCACAGAAATATATAAGATTCATAGTATGTACTTGTATCAGAGAGAAAAAGTAAAAAATGACATGGATATAATTATTTCTAAATTAGTAACACGACATCACGACATACAATAAAATTTTACCAACACATATTATAAAATTTGGAAATAATCAACGTAACAGCTTCTGCTACTATTGGCTATTCACAACCCACGCAAAATTTTTGCGCTCAATTTTGATTCCTTTGGCTCTTTACATACACGCGATTGTCAGACACAACACAACAAATTCAGAAGATAAATACGTACATAAATAAACAGCTGCAATGTTATAACGGACCCGACACATTGTATAAGTGGAGACCAATTCACCACAATAAAACAAAATAGACATAAAAAATAACAACAGATTGCCTACAACTAAAGTAGTAATTACTTATAGTTACATTAACATGGCTGAGCACAGCTCGCACGGGGAAGAACATTTCAAAATATGCACTGAAAATAAATCGACTTTTTTCGATAGGACATCTAGCTACAACGAAAAACTTAAAATTTCTCACTATTTTGATCTTACGTATATAAGCTGTACTGTGGCCTATTTCTACATCTGGCACGAGCGATTCGAGCATTTTACTTCTTCCTCCCGAGAGTCCGATCGGCTCATAAGGGACACACACTACAGGAAATTCACAATAAGTTTCTAGGATTTTTCCGTTTCTTAGGTCATGCTCCGTCGCCTTAGACTAGTCTCGGCGGTGGGAGGCGGCGCAGAGGCTAGGAGAGAGGCGCGGGCGCGGCACGGCGTGGGCGCCCGCGGCCGGACGGCGCGCGCGATACCTGAACCAGCGACGACGCCAGCGCAAGCCTCACTGGCGCACGCTGTCCGCCAGGCAGCCTGACAGGATTACGTTCAGTAAGTAAAGAAGTAAAAATCGCACAAATCTGACTGAGGTCTTAAATTCGTACCATTAATAATAATAATAATAATAACAACGCACACACTCGACATAGCCCCGCACTAGGGAAACCCTATGTCGCGGGTGCAATGGACACACACATAGACAACCACAAATTACACCCAAACTCACGAGAGAAATACATGTAGGCCATAAAAATATTTCGCCCGGCCCGGGAATCGAACCTGGGACCTCTGCGTGGCAGTCCGGCATGGTAACCGTTCGGCCACAGAGGCAGTTTAAAAATTTTACATTTTTACATTGGTACTAATATATAATAAAGCCACAAGTGATAGAGCGTATAAAATGTGTTTTATATTTATAACATGACAGTTATAAAAATAATACGAACTACATGAAACAAATTGTGTATATGTGAAATTTTATAACTTCTATTTAAGTTTAAAAGTTATTGATTAATTTCGTGCTTTAAACGTCTTCCCTGAAAATTGTCATTTTGTAGATGTGGCCTTATAGATCAAGGCAAGCTTGCGAATTGTATTGAGTAGAAGATAGTTTTGTTTGAACTTTCATGTAAATGTACCAGTTCCATAGACCATGTAAAAAAAGATAGAGGTTTCGTTAACATTGCAAAAAAAATTCTTAACATTTGCTCGTAAATGAATTGAATGAATATATTGAATAATTTTGGCTAATTTGACTATAATACCCAAAATAAAACCCACGGGCCTTTTTTCTTTCCATTACAGGCATGGTCGGTAAGGAGTTTTTTTATTTGTAGCACATTCTTCCTTACATAGGTCGGGGTTCAAGTTCAAGCAAGGAGGTTTCTTAAGTTCAAAATTAAAACATTAACTTAAAATGTTATCAAAACAGAAATTTCATTGCAATTCAGCCACATATTACTTAAATACTTGATTATTAAGAATTTCTTATAACTGATTGTAATTATTTTCCGTAGGTGTAAAAATTTCGTAATTTTTTTTTACAATCCATCATGGCTGTATGCGTGTTTGCTTTTTACAACATCTTAGGTAGAGTTGTATTATGCATGGAAGAATTAAAAAAAAAGCAAAAACCCGCCATTTGTCAAATCCATAATTGTTGTGAACCATATTTATATTGTATTTACTTCCTCGCAAATGTGATGAAAAACATTGTATGTATCCCGGACGGTAATAAAATACAAAACTGGAGTTATTAACGCCCACAGCCTTTGACTTCGGGCTTCTAATAGACCCTTGTTAGCAATTTCATATTTACCGTCCTTAATACACAATTTACTCTGAGCTATAGAGCTCGTTGTGTTGTGTTGTGTTGTACTGTCACCTTACCTATTTCTTCCGCCAAACAGTAATGTTAGCATTACTGTGTTCCGCTTTTGAAGGGTAAGGGTACTGGTGAAATTACAGGCACTTGGGACTTGTCAACTTATGTCTCAGGGTGATGGGCGCAGTGGCAGTGCCCCTCAGCTCTTTGCGATTTAAAGCTCTGAGTGGCACTGCAACTGTTATGGACAGGCGTGTAGCTTACTATCAGGCGCACGACCCGTTCGTCCCGTCACTTGATATTATTTAAAAAAAAGTACTATTGCATCATATTGGGAAATGGGGCATTAATTACCTGACGAGCACGGATGTGACGGCGGCGCGGCCGTCGCCTGTGGGTTCGATGGCGATGGGGCGAAGATCGGGCGCGCGACGCCGACGCGCCCCACCTGTTGACGTCACGCTTCCGTTCAGCAGCACCGTTACCGCTGCAAAAGGCCGCTTCGCCATGTGCAGCATCTAAATATTGCAAGCCTCGATTATTTTCAATATGTAATCAAGGATATTGGGCAGTTCAAAAAAAAAAGCTAAATGATAGACGCCAATAGACAGATCTTGGTAACGACACGGGAGGACATGAAGAAAATATTTTCTGTACTCATTGACTTACGTATTTTTCTAATAGGGCTGACATGTTCTATAATTATCAATGCGCTTAAATAAATAGTTAAAAATAATAATTATAAAAAAAATATTTTCCGTCTGTTAGCTTATTACATCGAGTATATGCTTATTATTATTATTATTATTATTACATAGTATTATTTGTTTATAATATAGACATATCACTTCCTTATATAGCAAACTAGCCTATATAGTAACACCTCAATTACACCTGACACACAATACCTAGAGACACAAATGTGTCGTTCATTGTATAAGTGAATTATGTCCTTGTAACTAAATTTTGAAATAATGAGCTTTTGTAATAATGTGTAGTAACTAGAAATTTTAGTTCTCTGAGAAAACTAGTAATGCCATCTATGGGATGTTAGTGCAATTATTGGTGTTGCTTCACTTTTATAATGAAAGATATGACTAAATGTGTTTTTTACTTTTGAGTAAAAAAAAATGTGTTTTAAAATATGCACTTACACCACTTTTATAATGATCGACACAAATACGCATATAACAGTGAACATCATGCACATTGCATTGGTGATAAATCGCAATGCGACTCACCTCCACTACGTGTCTTCTTCTAGCCCGTCTCACATCCGCCGCCTGTTTGGCCTTCCAAGCTACGACACACGCGGCCAGGAACAGGAAAAAGCAGGAGAAAAACACGGAAAAAAACACAAACAAATCAATGTGGAGCTGGTCCTGGCGGAAGAAGACAATACCGAAGCTTGCAGCGCCGTCTTCAGAGGCGCGCGCGCGAATTATTATGTAGAACTTAGTGTGCGTCAGGTCATGAATCGTATTTGGAAGAGTAAGCACTAGGCGGTTATGTAGATTTCTCACACGGAGCAGTATATTTTTTCTATCAACAGTGACATATGTTGCCAAGTCTTTAGCCGCATAATCGGCGAGCGTGTATTCCGTCTTATCGTAGTACCACGACAGTTGCGGCTTTTCGGCCACGTGGTCGTCAAACGAGGGCATTTTTCGGAACGGTTCATGTTTATAATAAGTTGGATCTAGTTCTACGGCATGCGAACCCGTACTGGAGTTGACAGAGACAACAAATGAGCTATCGTTCGGGCTCAAATATAAATCGACTGCACCCTGGGTGACATCGACGATGACTCGTATGTCTACGTTCATGTATCTAGGATTCACAGCCACAAACACGGTTTGACCGGGGTACAGAGGACGCGGCTTGATTTTGCATTCATCTGAAAACAGAAAAATTAACAGTATGTAAAGGGGTTCGAATCCTTTGGCCTACCTTGCTCGCAATTTTGATATATTTTTAAATTGAACCTTTTGTAAAGTGACAGCTATATTATATCCTGCCAAGATATTAGCTATCAGGGTTGTGTAACAGAATAAAAACTATATAACTATATCTAAACGGCCGACAGGAGCTAGCTCCTCCATAGTAAAAAAATATCAAACTGCTTCAAGATTCACTGTTATTAATTGAGTAGTGTACCCACCAATAGACTTGCCATCGAAGCAGAGTTTGTTTTCAATATTGATGGTCTTATAGCACTGATGCCCGTTACGCGGATCGCCCATATAGAGGTCGCGACACTTGACGCACTGATAGCGCCAGCACTCCTGTGCGGAATTTTTGCTCGAGCTGGAGGTCTGGCACGAAACGTCGCTTTCGGTGTTGTTGCCACAGTTGCACTTTTCTCCTGTCACCGGGTCGCAGATGTCGCCGTGGCCGTGACACTCACATCTGAAATGTTAGATTAGAAAACACAAATGCGTGAAGCACCCTAGTGAATTAAAATATTTATATCGAGTTCTTAGATTTTCGCGATTGTTACACATAGGAAATGAAACTATTTTTCCGGATGTAAATCGCGTATATTTGTTTTTTCAAACAAACCCACGTTTCGGGCCCTTTACAGGTCCCATGGTCACGGTTGACTGAGGTGGTACAGTCTTCAACCAGTTATGTTTAATATTGATGCAAACCACCCTATTTTTTCACTATACTTACAATAGTTAGTAATTAAATACCTTATTTTTAATTTTACAAAGAAAACACTCCAATTTACGCTACATTAAGTTTTACAAATTATTTTATTGAATGAATTTTTATTAAGTTTAATTTATTATTAATTATTAATAGAAATTAGAATAAACTAAAACATATTAATTAGAACTGCAGTCTTATGTCTGTTTGGGATTTTTCATTAGAGGAAATACTGGATCCCAAACTACTGGTACGGAGAAACCGTCTTCCCTGTTGAAATTAGGATGTTTTTTAATTTCAATGGCCTATCGCAGCATCCTGGGTAGATAACGGACTTCTTTTGCAAGGACCTGGGGTTTGTTAAACTTCATTGAATGTGTAGGTTTATCCATGACATGCTCGCAGATTGCAGACTGTGCATCCTACAGGACGCAGGAGTTTACAAGGTTGACTGTGAGTGCGGTCTCTCTTATATTGGACAAACAAAGCGAAGTATTTGTACCCGCGTCAAAGAACATATACCTGATGTCAAACACCGTCGCGTAAACAAGTCTGCACTCTGCGAGCATGTCATGGATAAACCTACACATTCAATGAAGTTTAACAAACCCCAGGTCCAAAAGAAGTCCGTTATCTACCCAGGATGCTGCGAGAGGCCATTGAAATTAAAAAACATCCTAATTTCAACAGGGAAGATGGTTTCTCCGTACCTCCAGTTTGGGATCCAGTATTTCCTCTAATGAAAAAGCCCAAACAGACATAAGACTGCAGTACTAATTAATATCTTTTAGTTTATTCTAATTTCTATTAATAATTAATAATAAATTAAACTTAATAAAAATTCATTCAATAAAATAATTTGTACAACTTAATGTAGCGTAAATTGGAATGTTTTATTTCTAAAATTTAAAAATAAGTTATTTAATTAATAACTATTGTAACTATAGTGAAAAAATAGGGTGGTTTGCATCAATATTAGACATAACTGGTTGAAGACTGTACGACCTCAGTCAACCGTGACCTTGGGACCTGTAAAGGGCCCGAAACGTCGGCTTGTTTGAAAAAACAAATATACGCGATTTAAATCCGGAAAAATAGTTTCATTTCCTTAAAATATTTATATTTCACTTTTGTTTAGTGTTATGATATTGTAGCAAAAAGATACAATTTGAATTTGAAAAGTTCGCAAAATTCCTTGTAGACGAAATGATTGATTACAAACACAGGCATTTTTTTGCACAGGCAAGTAATAAAATATACTAAAAAGATTTTACATGAACGATCAATATGAAAGGAAGGATATGAAACTGGGCCATTAGTATAATTAACATGCCAAAATCACCAAAAGTGCAACTAATTCTAATTAGTCTCATTAAAGTTCTAGCTTAGAGTTGTCTATTTTGGAGGTGTTTATTGGTAGTGTAAGTGAGACGGAGATAGACAGCTTCAGTGTTTATTATTTGCGTTTTGCACTATCTACTTAAAACAATAAGAGACAATCTTGTTTGAACTACGTATGACCTTTAAGTTTTTGATTCTGGAATTACTCGACGTGACGAATCGGCGACGCTTTTTTACGAGTGTTTCTTACGAAAACCCGTACCTAATTCGTCCCTAATGGACTTACCAAATACGGTTTTTCAATCGCTTAAACGTATGTGGTAGCTGGAAAGGCGTATCTAATTCGTCACTTTGAGGGGACAACTGTGTACGGTATTTCAGTTATTTAGACCCTTAGAAAAGCGTACCGAATTCGTCTCTCCTTGGGGGACGTACTGTATACGGGCAGCCATATACGCGGCCAGGGAAGATATATGTGGAAACCATTGAAGTTTACTATCTAAGGTCACTCCCAAGAAGACTGCTTTATTAACAAGGTCTAACTTTTCTCCGTTTATTTCTGTGCTTGGACTAGTCGATTTTACGTGAAATAATTCAAATTTACCACATTTTCACTTCTTAGCATCAAGCAATAAACTACCTTAGAGAGGGTATCTTTAATATGGTCATAGGTAAT